CCCCCCCCCCCCCCCCACCCCCTTTGCAATTTTATACTGTACATTGAACCATGGGGATCTTGTCTGATCCATATTTTCTACCATGACTTCCAATAGCAGGGAGTCTGGCAACCACAGTTTTGATATCCATTTTCTAGTTTGTCCATATAGCTCTATATAGTCTATATGAAAATGTTCAAGGCAATCAGGAGATTTCCAAGTTTCTGAATAGCATTTTTCTTGACTTTTTGTGGAGCCTTTCATTGCATTCTAATGTGAACACAAACTTTTTTAATAATGTCACCAAGAAACTTCAAAAGATTTCTGAATCTTTCTCAAAATTTTGGGCAGGACCAAAATAAAATATCTAACTTTTCATCCACTCTAGGGTTCCTTCAGAAAAGCATTTTTTTAAATTTAAAGTGCTCATCCTGGGCACAACATTTGTAAAAATATCAAAGTTATAGCCATACATGTGTTTAAATTCTGTGAATTTCTGAATAAATGGAATAAGTGGATGAAATTTTGACATGCAATCCAAGTTACAGTTGAAATTGTGATGAGAACTTTCTGTTTCACAAAGCAGACACATACTGAACTTCTTTTTCATTAATTTATTTTATCATGTACATCTTTTGAGCCATGAGTGGAACAACTAATATTGTTGTGCCCTCTTAACCAAACACTTCAAATTAAATCTCAATTGGACTTGGTTTTATGTTGGAGCATATACATATGGAGCAGCCATATAGTATATAGTGCTGTAGTTCTGTGATTAATTTTTTAAATTAATTTCATACTGGAATTCATTGAAATAGGGGTCATAGCTACAGAGTGCATCTAAAACAGATGAATCAAGACGCATCATGATTACTAAGTATACAGTATTTTGATGAAATGAGGAGAAAACTTTTGAAAGAAATAGGTTTTGCCTTTCATTAAACCTACCTTTGTATACTAGTAAAAATTCTGTATACTTCCTTCTTAATCAACTTCTTTGCTCATATACCTTTCTGCTCTTACAAAGAGAAGGACATATCTTCTAAGATACTGTTTCTTTGAAAGAAAGGCATAAAACTAAAAATGTAGCTAAATAATTTCCAAGATTTTGTACATTTTTTTGAATCCCTAGCTTTCTCTACAAAAATCTTTAAGTCTCTCAAGAAATTGGAATGGTGCATCCTTTCCTTCAATAAAATTAGCTCATCAAAATGACATTTCTATAAAATGGTGCCTATGGAGAAAGTGAGAAACTGCCAGGACAAAAAAATCATTATCAAAAAATGTATTGTAATCAGATTCATTTTGATGAAGTTCTACCATATGTGTGAGTGAATACTAGCCTAAGCAATCCTATGTTCTCTACAAATTATACTTTTAATTGTGCAAGGAAAAATTCACATTTCCTTTTTGCAAAGGAGAATTAGGCCCATTTTTTTGGTGCAGCATCAGGCCAAAATTTGGTTTAATCCGGCCCTGCATGCCAGAGCTCCTGGGATCAATCACAGATTTGGAATATATATCTTCATTAATTTTTATAGAATTACAGTAAAGTACTTCTAGACTAAGTGAGTAGACTGATATCTAGGATTAGTGAAGAAGCTTAGTAAGTATGATAATAAGATGTATTCATTAAGGAAGAGGTGTAACCTTACAGGAAGGTCAATAAAGTCTACCAATAAACTTAATCATATAAATGCAGTACATGAAGAAATTGAGTCACAAAAACCAAGGAGTCAATTCCCTTCATCCTGGGCTTCAAATATTTTGTCTCTATTAATTTTATATGCTGGGAAAAAATCTCAAAAATTTGGAAGAAACTGGGACAACTTTTGGATAAAAATTGGACTAATATGTCCAATATTTGTCTAAAAGTTTTCCCAGTTCCCTCCAAAAATTGTTTTTTTTTCATCCAAAAGTCATCCAACAGCAGCTGTCTTTTGGATGGCCTTTGGATAAAAATCAAACAACTTGTCAAAAGTTATCCAAGCAAACTTGTCCAATTTTGGCAAAACTCTGCGATAGGTTTGGTTTGGATAACATTTGGATAAAAAATGGACAACTTTGTGCGCACTGGGCACTCACACTATTGAAAATGCACATTTGAAGAACTTTCATTAGTCTCTTCAGCAAAAAATAAAAAATGCCCAGTCCCTGAAGTGTGTACATACTATTTTAAACTACTGCATGAACAAAAATTTGATTTTTTTAAATTTAGTTCTGAACACTCCATTCAAGTTGCTTTTGTATCCTGTGATCATTTTTTTCAGTGTTTTCGTTGTCATCAAATGATTTCTGACTCGTTCTTCTTTGCACACGTTTCTCGCAGCAAATTATCAATGGTAGAATAATTCGGAAATTCAGAAACAACGAAACGTTTTTCCAACGCTAGAATGAGTCGAACTCAAAAGCCAGTAACGTTTTATTTATTTGTCCTTGTGATTCCCTTGGTTTCTTCTTTTTTCCTTGGTGAGGTATATGTTCCCCCTCCAGTTTTCATGACTTCGAGCGAACATTCCCCTTCTGCTGTGTGATTCCGTCGTTTGTGATGTGCCTCTTGGAGAGTTGAAAGTTCTCCCTCGAGTTTTTTCTTATTTTTACAGGTGGCCATTTCATTTTTCCTCGTCCTCTGTGGGGGTATAAAATGTGCATTTCAGTGTACAGGAGAAAACACTTGAGAATAGTTTGGAGTTGCCCTTATCTAGCATTAGGCCCGATAAAAAACCAAAAAAAGAAGACCAATAATATACAATTGTGATCATCGTCAGTTTTCTGAGCCTTCTGATCTCGTGTTATTTTGATTGGGTTATTGTCAAAAGACTGTGTCCTGTGGAAAACAATGAAGAGATAGTTTTGAGGATGAAAATCTCGATTTTCAAGTGATAAGACTGATGGGCAAGACTGAAAGTCTAGATTATAGTCTTGGTATTCACGACAACTTTCAGTTATTTGTGTTCTCGAGATGTTTTCTATTTATGTTTTTTGGTGCGCTGCATTTGTTACGATTATTAAAGGAGCCACAGGCGGACTGCAATATATTTTCTTGGTTCGTAAATGCTGAAACGCAAACCAGTTATGAACGAATTTTTTGCTTCCATTGTGCAAAATTAAAGGGTTTTCAAAAAAGTGCATACGCAAAATGAAAGCTTTAGGAATTACATTGTATATATGCAAAGCGTTTCGGAGTTGAATATCTTTGTTTTTTTCGAGTTTAATTTTCCAGAATTCCGAAAAAGTTTAGTTGATCATCAGCAAAATAGATCACTTTTCTGGCATCATTACAAAACAGTTTCAAATTTTTCCGACTTTCAAAAGTTGAATTACGGGATCAGTCGGAAAATCCGTTGTATTCCGAATGCTTCTAAAATAAACGTTTTCAATTATTTTGCATGGGTTTATGCGGGAGTCATGACCATTCGGTTGTACTGTATTTGTTACCAAGGGCCTCTTTTTCCATTCTTTTCAAGTGAATTTCAAATTTCGAAAAAAGGCTAAAAATCAACAGGAAAACCCTAGTTTTGTGTCTGCATCCCAGCTGTTTCAATGCGCGATTTACTTGAAATTAGAGCATGGCGTTCAATCGGTCGCAGGAGAATACGGCAAAAGATCTTTATTGGAGGTTGCTTTATGGCAGTTCTTTTGGCATTTCGTCATTTCAGTGGAGGACCTGAAAGCGACTCGAACTCGAGCCAAAACGACAAAAAGAGGTAATACTATTCCCTGTGACCCGATTTATGTTTGTCCGCGTCTTGGACTCGCAATTTTCTTATTTCCTTGCACGTTTAATTTTTGATACAAGTGCAAAAAAAGTTGTAGGCTATGATATGATTTTTTGTTTTACCGGTTTTCAAACGCTTTCACAGCTGAACGAAGCAGCCAGAATTCTAAATTATTTGACCTGTGAAACAGTTTTAAAAGAAAACTTGAATTTCTGTGGTCATAATAAATATTAATAACAACCCTAATTTCTGTGGTCATTGCTGAAGAGAAATGGAAATTTGTATTCGCTTGACAGGATATTGTCATTGTTTTCCTTTTAAATCTTGGACAGCTCGTCAAAGCCAGAACCAGAAGTTGTGAACTCTAAGCTGGATCTGCGCAACATCAGTGCAGAAGATTTCGCTAAAAACAGCATTTATTTGCTGGAGACATCTGGCAGACAGTTTCTCAGCCCCAAGCAGCTGTGCTGCGTGGAATCTGCAGCAAGGTACAACCCCAAAAAACAGATTGTGGTCTTATCGACAGCAGATGCCTTGTTGTACCCAACTCTAGCGACATCTATCGCCCGGAATCACTCAAACATCATTTTCAGAAGAGTGGACGTTGCTGAAGCATTCAGAAACTCGCCGCTGAAATCCATGGACATTAATAGTACCTTAAAACAAAGCATGTATGCATTTTTAGAGAATGAAACACATTCATGGATTTTAAAAATAACCTTCTGTACACGATGTTTCCTCAGGTTCGTTACAGAACATACCAGTGACTTGCTGAGGCTGGTGCTGCTGTACGAACACGGTGGTACTTACATGGACTTCGATATGATCGTGCTCAAGGAATTGCCCAAGGTTGCCAATGGCGTGGCTACAGCCGACGATGGAAAATATCTGGCCAATGGTTTTTTGATTTTTGAAAAAGGACACCCTGTTATGCTTGACTGCTTGACCAACATTGCAAAGAGGTAGCATTTTATCTCTCGGAATTTTTACTGAAGGAATAAGAAACTGAATTGATATATATTACAATCAACCTTAATTTCAAGATTACGTATGGTTGCACCAGTGCTTGCATTCATTTCGGAAAATTCATTTATNCATCAACAGCCGTTGACGAAAATCCAGGAGTTTCTGACCCTCTGGTTCAAAAGCTTGAATCAAAAGCTTACGCTCTCCATTATTACAATGATAGAACCCGGACCACGGATGTCAAAATCAATGGGAACTCCGCCGTAGCTCGAATGGCTAGAAAACATTGTCCTCTGGTCACAGGTTTCTCTCGGGATTGGTTGTGGGGTTTCCACGACCCCGGCAAGGGATTTTAGTGATTAACACTCCATGTCATCAGTTGATGCACTTTTTTTTAGTGCCGGAGCACATTTTGTGCTTCCCGAAGGTAAACGCGACAAACGGCCGGCGCGCATGTACATATCTGAAACTAGCCGTTTGAATGAAGTGGCTTGTTTCTGTGTCCCCCTTCATCGTCTGATCTCTCGATGATTTTGTGTGCGAAAAGCGAGTTGCAATCAAAGTATGTGTGTAGTGGAGGGAGCCAAGCTGAATTACTGTGTCATTTACTGGAGTTTCCATTGCCCCACATTTAGCCATGTGCCCAAAATTGAAAGCTTGCAATTTTAATATACAGTAAATGTATTCCCAAGTAAGGCACGCACTCCTTCTTTATGAGAATGGAAATTTGAATATTTTTGCAATGAGGGCAAAAAAAGTCAAAAAGATTTGATAATCAACCAGGATAGGAAAGAAAAGCAAGAACGACCTCTGTTCAGGGAAATATTACATATTGGTTTGACTTTCCATTCAGAACAGAGAGAACGCTGCCTGCTGTTGAAAAATACATTAATTGCATGTCGTCTGTCTTCCCAATCTCAACTCATTTAGCATTCATTTTTGTGGGCTTTTAAGTGCCAAACAGATCAATTGTTTCTTTCAGCTGCTACTAGTTTTCCAGTGATCCTTGCCAAATCCTGTTTTGCATATCGCATGAAACCTTTTCTAAGCAAGTGAAGGCTTTCATTGTTTTTGTTCTTTTCAGCATACTGAGGACGAGAGACAGAATCCCACGATTTTTTCTGACCAACAAAAATGTTGTTTTTGCATGCAAAATCTTCCGTTTTCTTCGGGGGGGGGGGGGTGAATATTTCAAGTGCTCCATTGAACAAGTTGAAAAGTAACTTGACTGAATTTGATTCACCTGAATCAACCAACTGAAATCCCACCAAAACCGAGGGCCGCTTATATACAGGTAGAGTTTTTTGCTTAAATTTTGCATAAAATGATTTTCTGAACATACTTTTTTGTTTATGAACCGTTGGCCAAATGCGGGGTCTCGTCTACCAATATTACGAAAGTTTCCCGAAATAAAAGGCTCTGTTTGACGATTTTTCATGGTCTCGAATTCGATTTTAGAAAGAGTCCGCAGGTACCAAAGTTGCCCCCGAAAAAAAAACAGTTGAAATAATTTTTCTCATGATCGACCAGAAGTTGAGTGTTTTAACAGCTGCAAATAAGTCTAATGAATGCACAGTCAAGAAATTCCCTAGGCTAAACTGAATCCCGCACTCTTCAACTAGCAAAGTTTGAAAAATTCCCTCTGTTTTCCCTTCAAAACTGAAAAAAAACATTCTGGGCTAAATTCTAGCTTTTGAAATTTTTTTAAAATTTCAAAAGCGTAGTTTCAAGAAATACCCTTTGACTCAACTTTCTTGAGCCAATCAGACACTGTGGCATCAACCCGTTCTTGCCCAAGTGTCCCAACACAGGACAAAATTCAGAGGAAAGTATAAAAACCTAAATCACAATCAAAATCATCAATAGTCCATTTTTCCAAGCTGTTCCAAAACAATGCAAGTCCAAGATTTTTGTTGAGAGGTTAAAAATACTTTGCAAAAAATACTTATCAAGTCTGTCTTTTGTGTGTTTGTGCAAACTTTAACTCTTTGGGACATTTGAAATAAATGTTTAAAATTTAATTGAGGAATTCCACCCAGAATTCCTGGCCCCTGTCCCAGGCTGATTCTGTGTTTCTATTTTCTAAATCTTGACCCTTTGATCCACAGCCAAATTTTTCAACTTCTTGTGTTAAGGTGGCCAGAGCTCCCAACAGTTTCTTTGAATGGTGTGAGATTTCACTTTTGTGAAAAGCCAGACGGGTGTAGCAGGGAAAGTCAATTTATCTGGGAAATTTTTGTTGCTGGAATTTGCCAAGGTTGGAGATTAGATGCTAATCCTTTGATGCAGCCTCTTTACTGGGATCCTTGCAAGAGGAAAGGCTCAAGACACCCTTGAATGACCAAAATAATCCAGACAGGGGTTATAAAAGCTCAGACTTCGGGATTTTCAATTTTGAGGGAACGTTTTTGTGCAACTGCCAAAAATGCCAGGATTTTCTTAACTTTGCTCTGGATGCTCAGTTCTGCTTTTTAATCCATCTGTGCAAATGAAAGTTTGCAAGAAAAAGGCTGAATCTAATCCCCCTTAAGAGGTAAATGGTTGAGCATGTACCAAATTATCAGCCATAAAAACACTGAAATCAGTACAGTCAACCCCTACACAATGGACTCAATGCACGCTGCAGGCTAGTCTTCTATGCAAAAAGCCTGCTGTGCAAATTCAATTAACAAAGTTTACACTTATACTTTTTGCCTTTAATTTTGAACCAGCAGAAGTCTTTTATGCAAATTTAGTCCAGCATATGTCGCATGGGAGGGAAAACCACTTCCAGAGGCAGCCTGTTGTGGGAAAATCCATTTTGCGGGAGGTCTGTTGTGCGGGAGTCTACTTTATGCACAAATTCCAACGCTACTGCAATAATGGAAGAATATGAGAAGATCAAACTGAAATGATATCAAAAAGGGAGTAATCCTCTTGCATTGGATGTTCTTATGATATCAAAATGTTCCTAATGGAAATGAAAATGTCAAAGAGGAGGAAAAACCTTTGCTGGATTGTCCCTCACTATTCTCAAATCCTTCACAACCATCGTCTCTGAACCATGAGATCAAATGCCATATTTTTCAAAGTAATGAGTGCAACAAATCTGAATGAGTGGAAATTTTTCTATTTGCCACTGGTCTGTGTAACACGCGTATACTTCCTCAAAATATTCAGCCATCCCTTTGGTTTCAGCTTCAACAAAAACTGGTTCAACGGAAACGGTCCTGATCGCATCACAGAGGCCATGCAACGTTGGTGCAACACATCAACTCTGCAGCCCGGAATGAATTGTTCCAACGTCTACCTGTTCCCTGTCGACAACTTCACACACCTCAATTGGGGAATCGCCATGACGGCTTTTGACGAAGATCCGGCCATTTCCGATCCTCTGGTCGCCAATTTGGAGTCCAAGGCCTTCGTTTTTCATTATTACAATGACTTGACTCGTGTGGTTGATGCCAGCATCACTGGGAACTCTGCCATTGCGCGAATGGCGCGCAAATATTGTCCACTAGTCACCTCCTATTCTCGAGACTGGCTGTGGGGGTTCCATGACCCAGGCAAAGGGTTCCAGTGACGTAGTTTTTGTTGTGTTCAATTATTTTTTTTTATGTGGTGCACGTGCCTGTGACATGCTGAAGAATCTTGTGTTCCTGTTGATGAAAACAAATTGCAATTTCAGTTAGAACAGCGGAACGACGACCATCATCAGTTCCGCTGATTATTGTGCAGATAATAATCGAAATAAACAGCCTGTGTGAATAATGTGCTGAAATAATTTATTTTCATGCATCAGTTAAAAGGCCAGAACAAACATTAAAACACATTTTCCCCAATTTTTCAGACAACCTAAAAAAAACTAAACAGTCAACCCCTGTCGAACGGACTTGATTTGTGCAAGGGACAAGTCTGTTAGATGAAAAGTCCTTTACACAAATTCAATTACA